TCTGTCTGTCTGTCTGTCTGTCTGTCTGTCTGTCTGTCTGTATGTATGTATGTATGTATGTATGTATGTATGTATGTATGTGTGTGTGTATGTATGTATGTATGTATGTATGTATGTATGTATGTATGTGTGTATGTATGTATGTATGTGTGTGTGTGTATGTATGTATGTATGTATGTATGTATGTATGTATGTATGTATGTATGTATGTATGTGTGTATGTGTGTGTGTGCGTGCGTGCGTACGTGCGTGCGTGCGAGCGAGCGAGCGTGCGTGCGTGCGTGCGTGCGTGTGTGTGTGTGTATGTATGAATATATGTATGTATGTATGTATGTATGTATGTATGTATGTATGTATGTATGTATGTATGTATGTATGTAAGTATGTATGTATGTATGTATGTATGTATGTATGTATGTATGTATGTATGTATGTATGTATGTATGTATGTATGTATGTATGTATGTATGTATGTGTGTGTGTGTGTGTGTATGTATGTATGTATGTATGTATGTATGTATGTATGTATGTATGTATGTATGTATGTATGTATGTATGTATGTATGTATGTATGTATGTATGTATGTATGTATGTATGTATGTATGTATGTATGTATGTATGTATGTATGTATGTATGTGTGTATGTGTGTATGTGTGTATGTATGTATGTATGTATGTATGTATGTATGTATGTATGTATGTATGTATGTATGTATGTATGTATGTATGTATGTATGTATGTATGTATGGATGGATGGATGGGTGGATAAATGGATGGATGGGTGTGTGCGTGTGTGTATGTATGTTTGTATGTATGTTTGTTTGTTTGTTTGTATGTATTTACGTATGTGTGTTTGTATGTATGTATGTATATTTGTATGTTTTTCGTTGTTTTTGCAGGTAATTGGTTCTGCGTGGAATTTTTCTCGTGCGACCTCGGTTTTGATTTTACCTTTTATGGTCACTCGTAAAACCTGTCTCAGACATCTCAATTTGTAAAGGACAATGTCTGGAACTAGCAGTACATGGTTGAGATGAATATCCAAATTTAAGCTTGTCGCTCGGTCGTCCAGGTATGCTGACTGTTCTAATTAGGCTGCCGCAACGACTTCTTATCTTACAGTACCTTCTGCAAATCACCAAGTCGTCTTGTCCCTATCCGAAAGAAAAACACCATCCGGTAATCTCGTGCAGCAGGGTACCAGCCCTGAGCTTCATGAACTCAGGTGGGCCCACCTCTGAAAGTGTCTAGGAGAATCGTGGGCCGAAACACTTGTCGACGAGGATAACTTCTACTGATGACTGGTAGATCCCTGCTGTACTTGCTCCTTGTGAGTTTATTCCTAATGTAAGATGTTGTTTTGTGCTGATCGGTATTGTCAAATACTCACACATGCGGCCCGTTCAGAGGAAATCTGCAACACCTTTTATTAGATAGCTCCAATTAGTTATCGTGTGTGCCCCTCCTGAAACCTTCTATTCATGCAATCAGGCGCAACCATCGACCTCCTGGTGGTGTCGAGAACCAAAAGACAAGGTCTGAAATCAAACCCACAATGTTCAAAGCTGGTGGTAAACGATTCAATCACTCTTGCTACGGAAACTCCACTGACTCATGCAGAAAATAAAAAATTAAAACACTGTACCGTCTCCACAATAAAGGTTGGATACAAGTGTACAGTACCAACTTGTGTCATTAGGAATATAACGTGGTAAACCTCTATCTCTTTCATAGTGCGATTCTCGTACTACTGCCTTTAAACAACCATAGCGCTTGTTTCTGTTTGCGTATCTCGTGCTCAGGGGTCAGTGATACTGTTTCACAATGCAATACTTTGTTTACTATGGTTCAATTCCCCCGGTTAGTAAGTCAGAAAAAAGGATTGTTCTTGTGGCTTTCAGACAGTTGCATGAGAATTGCAACATGAAAGATGCTGGAGCCTTAACACGTAATATAACAAGTTATCAGTAGATGTATTGCCACCAACCTCAATCGTGGATATAACACATTTTTTTTTTCGGTGTGTGTTTTTTTGGGGGGAGGGGGGTGGGAGGGGAGCTGCCTTGGAAATCCGATCATAGTACTCGAGAATCATGGCATTGTTAAACGAATTCACTAACTACTTATGGATGTGAATTATGGACTCTCACTCAGAATTTGAAGAAAGAAATCGAAGTTTTTGAACTGAAATGCAATAGAAAGATTCTTAGAATACCGTGAACCACGAAGAAGACCTGGGTGACCAGAACATCAAGGAAACGTGGTTCATAAACAGCATCAGGTGGGGGGGGGGGGGGAGCTGCGTGTTCACGAGGGATGGTGTTCGCCTCGAGTGCTAGAGGTTCTGGGTTCAATCCTTTGCTAGGGCTGTGATTTTTTCACATGGACTTGGACTTCTAGTAATTCCCCCTGGTCTCTGGGTAGTGAGATCGGACGCCAGTGTGCATTGTAGCGCACGTAAAAAATTCCTTAGCAGTTGGAAATCGAAAAGAGTAGCCTAACGGCGCTCCCGGGCAGAATTTAGAGATCTACCCAAAGTATTTCAGGAACCTCGCCGATGCTACAGAGCCTAGGCACTGTGCTGAGCTTCTTCAGACTCAGACTTGATGGCACATACTGCTCGTGTAGCGTGCCCGATTTAAAGATCTCTCCTTAAGAACCAACAGCACTCTGAAATAGGAAAATGTTGAGGCGTCGGTTCGTATTGGTCTAAGGGATATCCCGTGGCCAATATACGCTAAACCTATTTCAGGAGTAGGGCAACTCAAGTTATGGCACTACAGAATATCTAATAATCATAGGCGCAACTTGGCTGGACACCCCCACTACTTTAAAAAGATAGCCCCCAGGCTATGATAGTATACTATCACAGCCATGTTAACACAGATTAAAATTACTAATCACACAAACATAAAAGCTAGCCAGTTAGAATAGTGAAACAGGGACACCCAAGTAAGCAATGAAAATTTCTGAATGGATGTAATAATTACAACACATATATATCAAGACAATCAAATGGTCCCCGATGACTGGAATTCGGGAACTAAAGTAGATGCAATACTGTTTAAACAGCCAGATTTAGCTTCTGAGAGTATCATGGATCATCTCTGTAACTCGGGGTAGACCTGTAAAAAGAGCATGTGGTATGTCATCTCAGATGTTACTTATCATTTTGGTAGGTCACTGCTCTCCTCAGTCCATGGTGATATGAACAGCCTGACTCAATAGACTGCTTTTCTTCTCGTTGATCTGGCAAACACTGACAGCGTTCATGTATGGGAATAAAGGAATTGTGCTGGAGCCCAACAAAGCTCCTGATGAAGGATTCCTTGGAGTGATGACACGGGTGGCCTGCAACAACTGCCTCTCAGCCACTGGAACTCACACAAGCTCCTGTCATGTTGAAGTTATGGTGATAGTACACACGATTGGTGGATGGTATTTGGCTGGACTGTGAATCGTTTGCCTGACTTCCAGGGAGGTATCATCCTGTGTCAGGAAGGAACTCAGAATTAGTATTCATCTTAAGAGTCACACACCAAGCTCAATTTATTTCCCTCCACCCTTCTCAGTCACTCAGAGGATAGCTCTCAGGAACAGGAGACAATTCCCATTTCAATTATTTCTGTCTGTCAGTCAGTGCAAGAGATAGGAGACAAGGTCCATAGTGGAGATAGATAGGCCTAAAAAACATAGATCATCCTCTCTCCACCTTCCCATCTACACTTGCAGACAAACATTCTATCTCATTCTTACATATATATTTTACACTTCCACAATCTGCCCACTGCACACACTGTTGTTGTGCTAAAATTAACCTCTGACGTCACAGCATCTTGTCGGCTGAAGTGTGACCCAGTTAAATATGTCCGCTAATCGACCCAAACTCGGTCGATTCGTTAAAGAATAATTAGCTTGCTAGGTTTAATATATGTATAATGGTATTGGGTCAGGTATGGCACAAACTATCAGCTTGCGAAGGGAAAGGTTTGATTTCAGGGGCTTGAGTGTCTGGAAACCAAGAACGGCCTAGTTCTAGGCTGTCACACAGCTGAATCTTTCCTCCCTGCAGCAGCTAACTTTATAGAGGCATATATCATGGTACTCGTAAACTATAATCAACTTACACAAGCTTAGGAATCCTTCAAAGATTAAACTGGTATTTTGAATGTGCCAAGATTTGATCAGAGAGGTGAAATACTTCTCTACGCCTAGGAAGTCTGGCGAAGAATGACCCCGCCTGATCTCGCTCGGCGTCTCTAGAAAGAAGTCCCGTATTAGTACCCCAAGGAATAAAAAGGTTTCCGCGAATTCTGAATATTATTCCAGAAAATATCTATCCCACAGTTGCAAGTTTGAAAATGTAGACTTTTCAAAACAACTAGAGGGTATAGAAATATATATTTCACCAGATAGAGTTATAAATCGATATGAGGGACTATATACCCAACGGACGGGTCTAAATTTGAAATGTGACCTGCCCGCTAGAGGCGTCAACGTCACGAATAGTCTAATGTGCAGGGTTTGGTTTATTCACTCCACGACACTTGAGTTAGAAGAAGAACGGAGCACTTACTACCGTGTGTCATGATGCTGATACGCTGTTTAAACTTTAACTTCAAACAGCATCATCTTCCGAAAGCTTAGGTGTTTTGGTCATGTCCAGCGTCATGGTGGTCTGGGGGGGGGGGGGTGCAGCGTCCTGAAACCAAGACAGCGACCGACCTCTGCAAACGTGGATACAGGATACTGAAATACTATAAAAGCACACAGTGCTGGAGAACGGGCTGGTGAACGAGAGACTCTCAACCAAGCCGTGAAGAGAGCGACGTTCTGTAAAGGACCTGTTGCCTGATTCATAGATTCACTAGCCTATATAAGCCACAGAGTCGACGCATCGAATATAACAACACAATAACAATGTCAGTGTTGTGAACTTTGCTGTTTTCTCGTCTGGTGGCCTCATGTGTTATTTGACTTCCCTGACTTTATCGCCAGATATGACCCAATTAGTGGCACTGGAGCCGAGCTTTGATTCCCCGATGGCTAATGTGACATTCAAAGAAATGGAGACAGCCATCCTGCCGTGCTCGGTCAAGTTTCTCGGAAGACACCAGGTAAGGAAAATCATTTGCAAATGATCAAACCGTTGTGATATTGACAGTAGCGATAATAAGTTGATAACAAACAAAATTGAACGGAGGGGATAAGAAGATGATGAAGAAACAGTAATGATGATGAAAATAATCATGATGATTTCGATGATCACTATGACAACGACGACGACGACTATCAAGAAGAAGAAGAAGAAGAAGAAGAAGAAGAAGAAGAAGAAGAAGAAGAAGAAGAAGAAGAAGAAGAAGAAGAAGAAGAAGAAGAAGAAGAAGAAGAAGAAGAAGAAGAAGAAGAAGAAGAACAAGAAGAAGAACAAGAAGAAGAACAAGAAGAAGAACAAGAAGAACAAGAAGAACAAGAACAAGAACAAGAAGAAGAAGAAGAAGAAGAACGAACGAACTTTATTTTCAAAGGGTCACAAATTGGGCACGCAGGCCCGTCTTACATTCGACCCTTCCAGTCAACCATCTTTCGCACAGCAGTTGTATTTGACTAATAAAGCATGTTATGATCATATGATGATATGCATATTATGAATATTATAAAAAAACACAAAAACATGAGTTATAAAGTGCATGCAAAAACCCGCGCGTGCATACATACACCCACATACACACGCTCACCCACTCACTTACACACACAAACATGCATGCATACATTACATACATACATACACAGATACATACAAGCAAACATGCATACACACATACACACAGGCATACGTACACACAAACATTCATTCATAGATACAAACATACATTCATACGTAATACAGGCATACACGCATACAGTCATAAATACAGTCATGCATGGAGACACACATATGCACACACGGACACTCCCACAGAGACACATACACACCCAGACAAAAATACAGACACACACACAGACACTTACATATAAACACACACAGGGAAACACACAGCACACATATTTACATTCGTGCTCACACACTGACACACACACCACACATACGCAGACAAACATGCAGACACATACATACAGCCACATAGACACACACGCAGTCAAACACACACACACACACACACACACACAAACACAAACAGGCAGACAAACACATACTGACACCCACAGAGACAAACACGCAGAAGTGCATACACATGCAAACACATAGAAATACACACGCAGACACATATATTCAGCACGCACAGACATATACTCTGACATGCAGACACAAACAGACTACAAAGGGGCACACACAACACACACAGAGAAACACGCATAGACATGCACAGACAGATAGACACATGCTGACACATACACTCACGCAGACAGACATACAGACACCCACACACAGAGATACATACATACAGCCGCATAGACACACCCGCAGACAAAACACATAAACATACACAGGCAAACATGAAGACAAACACATACGGGGACACACACAGACACAAACGAAGATATACACAGTCACATCAAATATGCAGAAAAACACAGAGACACACACACATGCAGACAAACACAGAGACACACACACAGACACATATTCACAGCTACATGTATCCAATCGCACACACACACATGCAGACACACATACACAGCAAAGAGGCACACTTAAACACACAGAAACCAGTTCACACTGAAACATACACGTGGACATACGCGCGAACACACACACATTCGCACATACACAAGGACACAGACGCATACATTCGCAAACACACACCCAGATACACAAGCAGACAAACAACATACTCAGAGTCATATGTATGCAAACACGCCTACACATACATACATATCAAGCACACGCGCGCGCGGAAACATACATATCATACACAGCTTGTTAAATAATAAATTGATAATGCAATATGGGTTACATTACATTCAAGGTGGCATATAATCGCTTGTAAGTATGAATTGAAAAAGTTTACGGTTAAATGAATAGGGACTTTTAGAATTTTTCAGGTCTAGTGGAAATTGGTTCCACAAATGAGCAGCGGAGTACGCTAAACTTCTTTTATATAAATCTATTCTAGGTTTAGGTAAATGTAATAAATTTAGTCGCTTGCTATTTATAGGATTTGATTTAATTAATCGGAAAAGGTAGTTTGGAGTATTTTGAGATAAAATTTTATGAATAAATTTGGCCTTGTTAAAAATTAAACGTTTGCTAAATAGCAATAGTCTTAGATGGTTATAGAGATTTTTTTTTACGATATGTTTATTATCTAAAACCAGGCGTAAAGCACGATTTTGAAGAGAACTTAGTCTTTTAACATTGGATTTGGCGCAACCATCCCAAACTGTGGAACAATAGTCGACATGTGTTTGGATGTAAGACGCGTAAAATCCTTTTCTTGCATCTTCGTCTAGAAAGTGCTGAATTTTTGCAAGCTGATAGACTTTTTGTGATATTTTCTTAGTTATCACAGAAACATGAGAATTCCAGGTTAAATGGTTGTCAATTGTAAGGCCTAAAGTTTTGTGTTCCGTTACATTAACAATAGGTAATTTATCAATGTAGAGCTGGAGTGTCGGCTTGTGCAGTACTAATGTTTGCAGCTTTTGTCTGGTTGTTATAAGCATAGACTTCGTTTTATTTATGTTAATTTGCATGCGATTGCTGTTGCTCCATTTACAAAGATTGTGTACTTCTTTCTGTAAAGATCTTTCTAACTCATTACGATTCTCATTGCTAGTATATATTGTACAGTCAACAGCAAATAAATCGCAGGTTATACTAAGATGTAATGGAAGGTCGTTAAATAGTAGTGGACCTAGAATCGACCCCTGTGGCACGCCTATATTTAAATTAGTGGATTCTGACAAGCGGTTGTTGAAGGATACTACTTGCTGTCTATCAGATAAAAATGACCGCATTATTTCGACTAAATTATCGTTAGTTTTTAATATTTTTAATTTATTAATTAGAATATCATGATCAACCATATCGAAGGCTTTCTTAAAGTCTACAAAAACTGCACCGCAAATTTTGCCTTTGTTGATGTTAAAGTGCCAGTTGTCCGTCATTTTTGTCATCTCAGTATGGCAAGAGTGCATAGGCCTGAACCCTGATTGGCTATTAACTATCAGATTGTTATTATTTAAGTGCTGAAATGTTATTTTATGTATGTGTTTCTCCAATGGTTTGGATAGCGAAGACAGTAGAGAAATGGGTCTATAACTGCCAAGAGAACTGTTGTCAGCTGAGCCACGTTTGAGTAGAGGATACACTTTAGCAATTTTAAATGCTGATGGAAAGTAGTTCTTAGAAAGGCACTGATTATATATGAATGTTAGGGAGTCACCAATGACTGGTGCAGCACATCGAAGAATTCGATTACTGATTCCATCTAAGAAGAAGAAGAAAAAGAAGAAGAAGAAGAAGAAGAAGAAGAAGAAGAAGAAGAAGAAGAAGAAGAAGAAGAAGAAGAAGAAGAAGAAGAAGAAGAAGAAGAAGAAAAAGAAGAAGAAGAAGAAGAAGAGAAGGAAGAAGAAGAAAAAAGAAGAAGAAGAAGGAAGAAAAAGAAGAAGGAAGGAGAAGAGAGGGAAGAAGAAGAAAAAAGAAGAAGAAGAAAGAAGGAGAAAGAAGAGGGAAGAAGAAAGAAGAAAAAGAAGAATCGCTTTCAAAATGCCTAATACAAAATAAAGTGACCATCTGAGAAAATTTACTATGGCAAAATTTCAATCGTAAGTGAAGATTGTTTTAGTGATAATAAAAATATGAGTAAGTGCGTACACACACAATCATGCTTGCATGGTAGACATCAAGGCACACAGACAAATGCAGACATACGCATGCAAACGCAGACGGAAGGTCTTAATCTTCTTTTTTTTTTTTTTTTTTTGTAGAGTTCTTTTGATGTCTTTCTTTGTCTACCTTGTGCTCTAGGTCCTTCTCCGCTTCTGGCGTATGCCTTGTCTGGTATGGCGTCTCAAGGCATTCTCTCTAATTGGGCAAACCACTTAATTTGCTGTCTATGTAATTTTATTTCCTTCTGCGCCAACTTGTTTTCATGTGACCTCGTTTCTAATTGTATCTCTTCTGGCCACTCCTGCTGCTTTTCTCAGAATTCGTATATCTGTGGTTACTAATTACTCCTGCAGCTTTTCTCAGACATCGTATATCTGTGGTTACTAACCACTCCTTAAGCTTTTCTCAGACATCGTATATCTGTGGTTACTAACCACTCCTGCAGCCTTTCTCAGACATCGTATATCTGTGGTTACTAACCACTCCTGCAGCCTTTCTCAGATATCGTATATCTGTGGTTACTAACCACTCCTGCTGCTTTTCTCAGAATTCGTATATATGTGGTTACTAACCACTCCTGCAGCTTTTCTCAGACATCGTATATATGTGGTTACTAACCTCTCGTGCAGCTTTTCTCAGACATCGTATATCTGTGGTTACTAACCTCTCATGCAGCTTTTCTCAGACATTGTATATCTGTGGTTACTAACCACTCCTGCAGCTTTTCTCAGACATCGTATATCTGTGGTTACTAACAACTCCTGCCGGTTTTTTTCAGACATCGTATATCTGTGGTTACTAACCACTCCTGTCGGTTTTCTCAGACATCGTATATCTGTAGTTACTAACCACTCCTGTCGGTTTTCTCAGACATCGTATATCTGTGGTTACTAACCACTCCTGCAGCTTTTCACATACATCGTATATCTGTGGTTACTAATTTTCTGTGGTGATGGTTGTTGTGAGTGACCACGTCTAGCAAAGAGTTAGAAGGAATATGCTTTAAATGAGTGTTCCTTTGTGCTAATTGGGAATTGTCTTATACTGTAAAGTAAGGTTGGTTAGATAACGTGCTACTCCTACCAATACTTGCTTTGCTTTACTGCATCTGATGTTAATTTCTTCATCCATTTCCCCATCTTCGGTGAATATCGACAGACAGACAGACAGACAGACAGACAGACAGACAGACAGACAGACAGACAGACAGACAGACAGACAGACAGACAGACAGACAGACAGACAGACAGACAGACAGACAGACAGACAGACAGACAGACA